AAACAAACATTACATTCTTATTCCAACACGTGATGTCAGAAACAAACATTACATTCTTATTCCAACAAATGATGTCACAAACAAACATTACATTCTTATTCCAACACGTGATGTCAGAAACAAACATTACATTCCTATTCCAACAAATGATGTCAGAAACAAACATTACATTCCTATTCCAACACGTGATGTCAGAAACAAACAAAAATCTTTACATTTTAAATGCGAGTGAATCGAATTTCCACAAGTTACAAAACAACAGCAATAAAAACAACACTATCTTATACATATTTTTCTTCTGGTGCGTCCTGCTCCCTCTTCAAATCCGCACCCACCCCAAACTCCACATATGTTATATTAATAGTATTAAAAGCAAAAAGGCTGTCACGCTGAGAGCCTCATGTGTAACATCTGAACTCCGGTAAATAGGTTAATTTTTTTCATTACGAAGGATTGTTCATTTGATGTTAATTTTTTTCCTTTTTTGCCCCACATCTTTGTTCTGGGGATGCACACCACTTATAACTGGGATATGGGCTGTCCTTTCACTTTGAGCATGTATTGTTTCCTAAGTCTTTGTTATAAAATGGACGACAGTATCTTCTCTGTCATGAGAATGTTTTTTTTGTTTTGTTAACGTTAAACCAGGCAAGCGTTTGACCACGATCTCACCTACTGGGAAGAGTTTGACCACGATCTCACCTACTGGGAAGTGTTTGACAACGATCTCACCTACTGGGAAGTGTTTGACCACGATCTCACCTACTGGGAAGTGTTTGACCACGATCTCACCTACTGGGAAGTGTTTGACCACGATCTCACCTACTGGGAAGTGTTTGACCACGATCTCACCTACTGGGAAGTGTTTGACCACGATCTCACCTACTGGGAAGTGTTTGACCACGATCTCACCTACTGGGAAGTGTTTGACCACGATCTCACCTACTGGGAAGTGTTTGATCACGATCTCACCTACTGGGAAGTGTTTGACCACGATCTCACCTACTGGGAAGTGTTTGACCACGATCTCACCTACTGGAAAGTGTTTGACCACGATCTCACCTACTGGGAAGTGTTTGACCACGATCTCACCTACTGGGAAGTGTTTGACCAAGATCTCACCTACTGGGAAGTGACGATGATGTCGAAGCTGTAGCACGCTTACTTGTTTACTTAAATTAACACACAAACATTTGTTTCGTGGCCCGGCAGGAAATATTATTTCAAAAATGTGGCCCGCCTGCCGATATTGATGGCCACCGCCGGGTTAGATGTTAGCGGTAGATCTAAATTTTTAGATGTTAGCGGTAGATTTAAATTTTTAGATGTTAGCGGTAGATTTAAATTTTTAGATGTTAGCGGTAGATTTAAATTTTTAGATGTTAGCGGTAGATTTAAATTTTTAGATGTTAGCGGCAGATTTAAATTTTTAGATGTTAGCGGTAGATTTAAATTTTTAGATGTTAGAGGTAGATCTAAATCAGAGGTTTCTCAAGCTTCATAATGCAGCGACCTTTTGATACAGTTCCTGATGTTGTGGCGACCCCCAGCCTCAAAATTATTTTCGTTGATACTTCAAAGTTATAGAGCATATGTGTTTTCAGATGGTCTTTGGCGACTCCTGGGAAAAGGGTCATGACCCACCTGTTGAGAACCACTGATCTAAAAGATTAAATGTTAGCAATTGATCTAAATTTCTTTTGAATGAAGTAAATAATGATTTAGGCGATATTTTTTTACCCCAAAATGTTTACAATGGAAAACAACGAACTCTCTTTTTATTATCATACAAATATACATTTAGACTTTCTCGTAATTACTGGTTAAATATAATTAGGGTACACATATGAAATCACCGTAATCAAATAGAATTATGAGAGTTTCAATACGTTAGGAGTGTCAATGAGGATTAATTTGTGTTTTATCGTGGCCAATTGAAAATGTTGTTAACAGCATGTAAAAAGAATAATAATTAGGCTTTATTTTTTTACCTTCTCCCGTGTGAAGGTTACAAGTAACCTCCCCCCTTCACCTTAGGAGACAGACGTAGGGACGTAAGTTTTTTAGCTTTGGGATAGTCAGGTCTACCCTACTAGTCCAATGCGCCACGCAGAGGCAAAACTCTTGCAATACAATGGATACCAGGGCACGTCGACATCAGTGGCAACGAGAGAGCGGACACTCTGGCGAAAACCGGGGCTGCCCAGACTCAGCCAGAAGTACCAATGACTTTCTTGGGGGTCAAAAACTGGTTGGCGGACCACTTCAGGCAGAAGTGGTACAGGCAATGGGCTGACAACACGACCGCCAGAGGCGTCTATTCGAATTTGCCCACTCCTAGCAAACAAGACCCATGGTGGGGGTTAGGTCGCAGATCGCAGAGTTTAGTGACGCAGATGCGCACCGAGCATTGCCCCTTGCGCACATATTTCTGGAGGCTGGATAACAACAGAGATCCTACCTGCCGGCACTGCTGCCTGGCCCCAGAGACCTTAGAGCATCTGTTGACTGAATGTCCCTCACTAGATCTCCCGGGGGAAGCCAGGGCGGTTGGAGGATCCTTTGTGAGGGAAATGTTGTATGGCTCAGCTCAACAGATGGAGTTGATAGCCAATTTACTAGCCGGGGTCATAAGAGAGTAATCTCAGACCCTCACCAGAATATGTGCGTTAGTTAGTAGGCCCTGCATGTCCTGTGGCTATGGGTGGCCTAAGGTAGGCTATTTAAAGGGCCTCCAAAAGTCATGTGATGGATCTGGCTCTGTCCTTAATTCACCTTAGAATTTTCCGTTGACAAAGTTAACTATCCACTGCAAATGTCCTTCAATATTAGGTGAAATTTTACATTTGGTTAAAAGGGGATGTCTTGGCTGTATATTACAAAACATACCTCCATACTGTTTCATTTCTAGTTGTTGTAACCCAAAACTGACATTTTCACAGCTAATGTCAGCTCTAGCCAGTTTGTATCTAACAATTTGCCTGAATTTCTACTAACTGCTGACTAAAAACCTTTCTAACACATTCACTAGACCATTTAACTCAACCTAACACTAAATAGATACTAGATGGCATCAGAAATTTTAGGGATGAAGAGTTTTCCAAGTTTTTAATTAAAAATGTATAAACTTTTGAAATAAAATAAAAGTGATAATTAATGGTAAGATCACACTAAATCATTGGTTCTAATAATACATCGTAATGAGATTTATTCAATAAATTACTGAACAGTCGAAAAAAATGCAATACTATTATGTGAAAAGAAACATTGTCATCTCGCAAATCTATGACACTAAACCTACTCAGAAATGGGCGTCTATTGTTGTTAACCATTGTATCTTGTTTAATTGAAAAACCTCCAACCATTACCTCAAACTGATAATTACTTAGTGAGCACTTAGCCTGTATACTGTTACTGTTATTATTTGAAATCTAATCAAACAATTTTGTTAAAAATGCCATTGGTGTACATTCTTCTGTAATCAATGATTTTTGCAGTGATATGCCTGAGTAAAGCATTACAAAATAGTAATGTTATGCACAGTTGTCGTGTAAATATAAGATGTCATATTGTGCCATTGTATAATCAGTGTATGATGATGTGACAGCTGTCATTAAGTAATGTGCTTAAGTAATTAAATATGTTTGTTTGGTTATGTTGAGAAGTTGTGTTTTTGCTGTAGGCATATAACATAAAGCTGCCCACATCAAGACAGAATACATCCTTTGCACACACACACATATATATATTATATATAAATATATATATGAAAGTTCTAGTTCATGGTATTGACTTATATAGAGAGATAGATGTTTACAAAAATGGCCAAAATGATGAAATGAAGTTGACAAAGTCTTTACACAAAATCTTACTCTAAAAAAAAAATACTTGTTAGTGTGGAATTTCTCCAATATATTTATATTGAAGATCAGTTTTGTCCATTGAAAATCCTTGGTGTTCCTTATACATTATATTGACTACAGTAGTATTGCTTTAAATGTTTTCATGTGTTAACATATTATCAACCTAATATTTTTTGTCATTGCTTAAATTAATTTAAAATGTAAAGCCACGAAATTTTTTAAGTAAATTGATATTGTGAATTGAAATTATGCGATATAGAGAAATTGTGTAAGTAGTCAGCTTTGTGTCAATGTCAGCTGCCTGTGTGCTAGTCAGCTGTTTGTATGCTAGTTAATCCTTTCAGTGCTAGACATTTCGTGTTGTGCTGGCTAGTCAGCCCCTTGTGTGCTCGTCAGTCACTTCTGTGCTAGTCATTCACTTCTGTGCTAGTAAGTCACATCTATGCTAGTCATTACCTTCTGCACTGGCCAGTCCCTTCTTTGCTAGTCAGTCCTTTCAGTGCTAGTGTGTTCCTTATGTCATAGTCAGTTACTTTGGTGATGGCCAGTCTTGTAACCTATTCCACATGTTGTGTGCAATATATAATTATATTCTAAAGTATCTTTTTCTTCTAAAAAGTGTGCTAACATAGCACTGTTTCTTTTTTTTCTTATTGGCTAGCCTAGTGTTTGCTTTTCTATGTGCTAGCCTAGTATTCCCTTTCGATGTCTGAATGACTAATAAAGCACAACTCTAATGCTGTAATACACACACAGCTCTACCACTAGATATAACCCTTGATGACTTTCCAACATTCCCTTTCTTTTGTGTGCCTGTTGCCTTATCTCCTTATACACAAAACAGTTAACTAGTTTATGTAGTCAATCCTCATTTTTTCCTCAAGTTTCATTAGCAGACTTGATCCAAAAGGCCTGTTTTGTGACCAGTTCATAGCAACAATCCTATTTCATAGCATAATCAGTGAGTCAGGCTCTCAAATTTCAGTTAGATCATAAGTAAATTTTCTTTAAGCTATAGATTGAAATTATCATTATACAAAGTTATTAAACCTTTTATACATTGTTGCTAATTCAGATGGAAAAAAACAACAGCCCAATCCTTGTATTCAATTCAATAAATATTACTCATCTAACATCAGGATGCCAAGTCCCGGTTCCAGTCAGCTGTGGCTAGTACCTCAATGCAGAATGCTGTCACAAGCACTATGAAGCGGTCATCTTTGGAGAAACAGAGATCGAACTCTGTCACATTCACTCCCACCCCTTCACGTTCAGGATTTTCATTGCATCCTCTCTCAGGGTCCTTGCCTAGAAGACAGCTAGAAGTTGACAGGTATCAAGCATCTGACTTTGCCAAAGAATAATTACGTTGCTCTAAACTTAATTGTTTAAATTTCTTTTCTCATATTTAGAACTTATTCAATTTTTTATGGCTGCATTTAAAGGGTTTCTGGTGAAAAAAATAATTTTCCATAAGTCTGGGCTCATTGTATTCCACAAAAATTCCTTTTACATTCATTTAGAGAAAAAAAAAAAGGTAAGATCAACCACAAATGAAACTAAAATTAAGTGTAGACTTAATGTTGACCAGTCCATTTATTGGCACCCAGCCCATTTGCTTTTGTTTCATCTAAAGCAAAATGTGCTATACATTAATCCTGTATGGTCTTAAATATTTATTTGGGGTAAAAACAGGTTTACTTCCTCTATCCACAGCACATCAGGAAACTCAGATGACAAGACTGAATCTGAAAATAAGGTTTCACAAGATGAGGATGCTTTTAGGAAAGGGTGGGTGCTCACTTCTACATTTGTTAATACCTAATGCTTATGTGGGGCATTAATTTTTTTCAAAATGTATTTATCAACCTTTAAATTCCAGAATAGACTTTTTGAATTAACAGGCAGTCAAGTATTTATACAAATCTATTCCAATTAAAACATCATCTCAATTGAACATACTGTTTTCACCGATACAGTTGTGAAAGATGCAATAATTCTATATTCCTAGGATATTATTTTTTTTATTAGGGTTTGTAAAGGACAGTAGTGGACAGAGTGATTTTTTGTATTGGAGGATGCAAAGGTTTATGGCGTTATATTTTCGATAATTTGTGACAATGGAGGAGGAGGGTAATAAATTAGCAAAATGACATTTATGAAGGCTACCTGGTACAGTTATACAGCTTGTTGTAATAATGATTGTATTGTTGTGTGTGTTTAGCTTTGAAGAAGGTCTGAAAGCCAAGCTAAGCCAGGAGCTGACAGAACTGAGAGACCACCAGAACTCCATCAGTCAGAGCCTGGATCACATGATGGACAAGGTTGATCAGTCACAACAAGAGGAGGAAGAGTTACTCTCTAGGTTAGCTGCCTTGACTAATTTCTTTAACTGAACCTAATTCATTCATAACCTACTTATTTTGTAAATCTGGAAGTAAAGGAGCATGATGACCAATGTTCCCTGCTATCTCAAAGACAAATTTAATCATCAAGATTCAGATAATTTTTAAGTTTAATATCAACTTTATATTGTAATACCTGAAGTTGATAGAGGGTACATTTTCACAAGTTTGCTGCCATCACTACAGTCACCATTAGCATCAACCACCCTAGTTTTTTTACTGTGATTCAGATAATTTATTTTCATGTTTTGGAACATCACTATTTACTTACTTCATCAATATCTATAGAATCTAAATTGATTCATTCTATAGTTTCATCATCTCAAAAGCTTGTGAAGCAATCCTAAACTTCAAATACCCATAACTTATATAATAAAGTTTAAAAAAGCATGGAATTTTTACATTGAGATGAGCTCCATTCTCACAATTATAACTGTAAACCAATAATAACCGTTTTGGTGAGAATAGTAAACTATTATTCATTCATTATTCATCAGGATTAGCAAACTTATATGCACAGGTCAGAAAACTTAACTGACCGACAGACTCACCATTTATAAAGGTTGCCATTAGACCGGTCAACTGTATTATTTGGCCGCCAGTGTTGGTTGCCTCTAATTGTCTCCTCCTATCTGCAGGCCGACCCGTCTAGACACAATAATAAACTACTCTGCCAGACTGAAGGACTTCCTGGTGCAGCACAACTGGAGAACCAACAAAAAGGCCATTCGGAACCTGGCAGGATTATTTTTTGTCTTTCTAGCCATCCTGGTAGTGTTTCTCTCCCCTCCTCTTAATGTGAAGCATGTGACCAATCCACCGCAGTAAATACCATACTCATCTAAGACTATTTTAAGTCAGCATCGCTTTCTTCTGGAAATATTTCTTTGCACAATTGTTTGAAAATGCTGATGCTTTTTTTTCTGGTGTTTTGTTACTTGACTACAAAAATTGTGTTAAGTTTTATTTGTGTTTATCTTTTTTTTTTTACACATTTGTTTTAAATTGATTGACTGTTAGTGATTACGGTTTTGCACAAATATTTCAGTGTAGAACAGTTTGCCCATCTCTACTGAGCCCCAGTTAGTGCCATGTAAATGAAGATGGGATGGAAATGATATGTCAGTTACATGTTGAAGATTGGCTTTTCTATAAAAATGTGTTTACAGAGCAAATCCTACGTGTTATAAATAAAAGATTTTTTATACAATTTTAACAAATTATTTGTATAATAGTTTTCCTCTACTCCAGAGGTCTCAAACTCAAATCATCTGGGGGCCGCAGGAGGTAAACTATGAGTGAGACTGGGCCGCATCAAGTATTCCTCAAAAAAGTGATTACAAATTCAATAATGTACAACTGTTACAATCTGCTCAACCTTTGTTAATAACAAATACAAATGGGTTCTCAAGAATTAGGCTTCACTTACTCCGTCCTACTGTTTGTTGCCAGACACCTGGAAGTGCTTCTTCTTACACAGCTGAGCAACATTTAGCCTGAGTGAGGAAGCAACTGAGACCCTCAGTATAGCCTGAAGATGCACATCAGTAAGTTTGACCCTGAACTTTGACTTGTTAGGTACTCCTGTTGCGGCCTCCCAAATGTTGCGGCCTCCACTAATGTTATGGCCTTCTCCCATTGTCTATGGGTTACAACCTCCGATGGTAACTACTCTGTGTCTAACCTTATGTCAGACCTGTATGGTTAATTCTCGTCTCTCTCTCTGTCAAGCAACTCAAACACTGAATAGTCCATTGTAAATTATGTATTTATTTACATGTACTGAAACATCCACTTGTTACAAAATACAGTTGCAACACGCCTCAGGCAACAAGCCATGCAGTGAATCTAACCAAAATTACTAAATCTCTAAACTCTACTCTGGACTCCGACACATTAGTTCAACTCTCTCGACTTATGTCACAACTCTCACTAGCGATCCCTTGTCTCCCTCTATCTCTTACTGTCGACCAACACACTGTCCTTTTATATCTCAACAAAACACTCAGCATAAACTAACCTTCCACACCACGAACCAACTTCACGCTCTGACCTCACGATCAACAACTCACCCTACCAAACATTCACAACAATCTAGTTCACAACAACTCCGCACATGATCCGCTTGAGCAACCTGGAAATCTCAGGGAAGGTGGAGGACAATTCTCTCATAAATTGTTCAAGCTTGTCTGTTTTCCATTTACCTTCCTGAACTTAGCCTTGAGTTTAGAATTGCACTGAAGATCAATCAGCTCCATTTGAAGTGCAGCTTCCAGTTGAAGGAGAAAGGGTCAGCAAGTTTTTTTAAAGAGGCTCTGTGTTTTGAAGTCTGAAAACCTGTAATCGAATTCTTCCTGCAATTTCCTACTGTGTAAGTTACTGTAAGCCTACAGTGTTAACACAACCATTGGCATCTGTTATAGATGCCTACAGTGTCAACACAACCATTGACATTTGACATCTGTTATGGATGCCTACAGTGTCAACACAACCATTGACATTTGGCATCTGCTATGAATGCCTACAGTGTCAAAAGAACCATTGACATTTGGCATCTGTTATGGATGCCTACTGTGTCAACACAACCATTGACATTTGGCATCTGTTATGGATGCCTACAGTGTCAACTCAACCATTGTCATTTCAATCAATTTGGCTTTTGTGATGTATGCCTAGAGTGTCAACACAAGCAATTATTCCTTTTATTGTTTTAATGCAGAGAAATACACAGATATTGAGATTGAAATTCACAGATATTATTTACAATCTCAATATCTGTGAATTTCAATCTAAACAGGTATTGAGATAGCAATTCAAAGATATTGAGATAAAATTCAGATATTGGGATAGAAATTAAACAGACATCTTTACAAGAAATTTTAAATTGTGGGTCCGAAAAAGACCTTGATGATCTTTATTATTTCTTTGAATTATCTTATTTAAAAAAAGCTAAAATTCATGTTAATATTGAAGTTGTACAAATGTGGCACATAAAAGATAATGTTGGTGCCTGTCAACTACTGATCTTCCAGTATAAATAATTGTGGATATATTTGAATGTTCTTTTCCTGCAATTCAAACTGCTCTATGTCCTGTTACAAATTAAGATTTATATTATGATTGTAATGACTGTTTTTTCTGTTGTTTTTTGTGTCTAAATATAACATGGCAGAAGTACCATATGGTGTTGTAATATAATGTAGAAGTAGTACTGTGTAGTAATGTAACAGGGCAGAAGTACTATCTGGTGTGTTATATCAGGGCCAGTGCAAGGAGTGTGCGCCGCCTTGGGCAACGATAATTTTGCTTGGCCTTTGATATGACATATTACATACGATATTAAGACAAGTAAGTCATACTGGGTCTTACAGGCTGGGCGTGCCGATGAAAAGCGGCTCCTATTGCGTAGCCTGAAAATGGCGCCCACTTTTATATAGAATAAAAGTGACGCCCGGGCGGACCAGAAGACATTGAATTTGGCGCCCGTTGTCTGTGAAGTAAAAGTCATTCTTTTCATTCAGTTGGCAATATTGTCAGTCCATTCAATCGAACCTGAGAAATTGGTGATCTCAACTAAGTTTTATCGTGAAAGGGAGGGCGGAAAAAATAACAAAATTGGCGATCATTTTCATCGGGAAGTAGGGTGGAAATCGAGGGCGCCGATGAATCTTGCTCCCCAAAAATTTTTTGATAATTTCAAAATCAAGAGGTTTATTTTTTTAGCATACTTGAATTCAATGTTTCTATTATACTTTTTGAACGCGGAAGGCCTTATGGCGCCCAGGGCTTACATAAACTGAGTTCAGCCCAGTGCATAAATAATTTGTGGTGTGCCTCCAGGCTAATCATTTGGCACAAGTTATAATCAACCCCATACCATAACATTGATCAGCGTGAGGGAATCGTGTGCGAAATGTAAGGTGCTAAAGAGGGCAAACTCAAAATACAGGGATGCATTTTTGGCGCATACTTGAATTTGTTGTTTCTTTCAGACATTTTTGAGTTAGCATTTCAAACTTTCGGGCGGGAAATGCCGAAATTAGCCATAATAATGATCAAAGACATCTTAAATTCCACACAAAAATCTGTAAACTAAATTCATTCCAGTTGTATCACCCTTGAGGGTAAGCTTTTGCCCTAGATTTTTCTAACCTCTTCGATTTGTATAGTCCCCAGAACATTTTTGAAAAATTCAAAATACAAGAATGCATTTTTAATACATATAAGAATTTAGTTTTGCTACATTGTACACTTGTACAGAAATGTGCTTGACCTGCTTGTGTTATGCAAAATAAAAAATTTTAAAAATATAATTATATAACTAAAATAGTAATGGGGCTTTTATTTTTTATTTACCTTTTTTGGGGGGGATAGCTACTTAAATAATAAATTATTTTTTTTAATCAATTAAAATTAAAAAGGGTTCCATCACTAAACAGCCATGAAAACATCATTTGATATGCTGGACGCAAAGGAAAGGGGAAAAAAGTTACTTAAATTAGACTACCTTTGCTAAATATTTCCAAATTTTGCCAGAGTAAAAAAAACAACCCAAAAAAAACCCTGTTTATTAGAAATGTCTAAACATTTGTATGGGCCTTGCATTACTGTTAATTTTTATAAATCGTAGATGAACGGCGTAATTTTTACAGAGATGTTTACAAATGACGTAATATATTTATTTATGGGTTATTTTATCTGAAGAAAAATCGTTTAAAAATAAAGTATCAAGTTCTCGAAATTTAAAATAAAATGAGTAAAACAGAGTAGGGTTAAACCTGAAAAATGAAACGCAACAAAACAGCGAACGTGTCGGCAGAAAGCCTTCGTCAGCGAACAAAACAACAACAGAGAAAACGGTATAAAAATAAGAAATAGCACTTTGCTGGTAAGTAGTATATGTGGGCAGCAATAGAAGTGGAATGTAATTAAAAGTTCATAACCCTTTAAAAGTTCCTTCCGGAAAATGTTGGATATATATGCCAAGTTTGGTCAAGATCCATCAATCCATGTAAAAGCCTTATAAATAAACTTTGCTGTCAGGTATCGGGCCGCAAAATATCGTCTTGCGGGCCCGCGGTCCGCGAGTTTGAGACCCTTTCCCTAAATAAACGTGAAGCTGCGTTCTGTTAAACCTTTCTGGATACAGTTATGTGTTTCAGCGACAATTTTTTGTATATATTAAGTTTTAATTTGAATCACTTCATTCACAAATTAAAATTCGCCTAAAATTGGTTCGGAGTTTGTTTCTGAAGCGATTCCCTGTGCAAGTGGTCATTGTTGCAAACCATCCTTGTCAATATATTTGGTGAAGACACGCATTACACGTTGGACATGACTTATGTAATGGCTACATTAAGTTACATAGTCGAGGTTTTCATGCGACTGTCCTTGAAGGGATAAGATGGGAACTTGGCATATTGTACATTTGACTATCTTTTACCTCTTAGATATTGTGCCGTAATATAACAGAGAAATAGTCTAGAATTTTCGATAGGAGACATGAAAAAATCGCGCATGAAGACATGCAAGAAGACGTAAGAGATGGTAATCAATATACCTTTTGTAATGTGATTTCAGTTGGTTTTGTGTGTGTTGAAATGTCAAGAAAATAAAGTGTAGTAGTTACTAGAAATAAAGTTGGTTTAATTCACTAAAAGTGAATAGGTTGTGAGAGGGGGGAGGGGTGTTGCGTAAGCAAAAAGAAAAAAAAAGAAGGTGGGGGGAAAAGTCTATCAACCCTTCCCCATTCGTCCATCACTAAATTGTACTTCAATACTTCATCGAGATCCGTGATTTTTGTTTTGTTGACGCAGCTCTGGTGACCTTGTTCATAATCTAGTCCAGGGGTCACCAAACTTTTTTCACAGCGCGACGGATAACTGATAAAATGAGCGCGAGCTGCATAATCATTCTGTACAATACTTGCAAGCCAGAACCGAAAGCTCTGGGGAAAAAAGACTAAAAATCATTTAGTATTATATTTTAATCATGGGCGAGTGGCGCGCAATTCACAAAAAATAAAAAACAACCAACATATGCGTTTACTAAAAAAAAAGTGATCATAGCAGGCAAAGAGTAGGTATCACCTACTGCGCACATTCGGAATCTCACAAACTAAGCAGCAAAAAAGCCGCAGGTTAGTGATATTTGTGAAACTGAAGTTCGGCTTTCAAGATAGCACCAACGTTTGGATTGGAATTGCTGCATCCAATCAAGAGAATTGATTTGAAATTTTCATCGGTCAAACTCAATCGATTTGTTGACTTCACATGCTTCATTTTTGAAAATGTTTACTCACAGACGACATAAGTTTTCCCAAACACTGATGCCATACAAGTGGCAAATTTCTTCAGTTTTGAAAACTCAACATCAGATAAGCAGCATTAAAATTCAAAAAGTTTTCCTTCTGTGTGCTTCTCTTTCAACAAGTCATTTGCTTGCTAATCAATTAGCTCCATCTGTAGCTTAGCTGGCACATCATCAAAGTTACAATCAAACGAATTCTAGAACAGAAGAATGTCACTCCAAATTTTGTCAAAATCTGAAAATCTCCCAAAGAATGATGCTTTAAGTCACGAATATTTTTTTTCGGCAAATCGAGGTTGACAACTTTGGCGATTGTAGGATTGTAGCGCCAAACTCTTTGAAACAGGGAAAATGAGAAACGTATATCCTTTCACGTGTACTTCAAAAAAATTACAGCTTTCTCCAAAATCCTTTGATGATTCTGTAGAGATCACAGATGAGATTGTCCTTTCCCTTAAGTTTCAAGTTCACTTATTCACAATATGTGAAGGTGCAGTCCGTAATATAAAAAAAAATGCTAAACGAAATCGCACTTTAAAAGTTCATAGCTCAAAAAGTACTAAAGCTAAAAATATTGATTAATGTCTCTTTTTTTTTTTTAAATTGGAAATATCCTCTTTATAACTGTAATATTTTTTTTAATTCTTTGGATTTTTTTAAAAACCGAAGTATCTAATTCTGAACGTAATATTTTAATTATATCACAACTTTTCGTGTTCCATACGTTTTATAAGGCAAATTCAAGAACCGTCGGCGGGCCGGATAAACTGACGTCGCGGGTAGGATCCGACCCGCGGGCCGTAGTTTCGTGACCCCAGATCTAGTCAAAATAGTATGGTCAAACATCCTAGGAAACAAATTACGGACACTACTTTCTAAAAATAATAATGTTGTTAGGGACATTTATACTAATTAAAGCATTACCAGTAACCTCCAACCAAAGACTCACAAAACAAAACCAAAAAAAAAAAAAAGTGGGTGGGGTGGGGTTGGGTGTTAAAATCAAAATACAGATGTTTGCCTCTTAACAATACTCTCCAACAGTGGAAGATTAATAGGAAATGACTTGCTTTTATGTTCTCTGAATAGTTACTACTACATGCGTTGGCGATTATTTGATGTTCTGCGTCGCAATATTTCAGGAATCGTGTTCATGTTTGTGTGAAATGAACTGACATGATTGGCTTAGCATTTTAAGAACTTATCAAATAAAGACCTTACAGATTAATGGAAAATAGAATGAACTTCCATTTTATTTTTATGCCAGAGAATAGGGATTCTGATTATTGTTTTTTTTTTTAATATTGCGAAAATCGTTCTGGGGGAAACTGAGACAAATGTTAGTGGCATCGCAGTCTTTCAAAATATTAACATCGCATAAAATGTGTAGCTTTTTGTGTCGGGGGGGGGGGGGGGGGGAGACATAAAAGTGTCCAATATAATAAACCGCACATCTCATTGTTCGCGTGTTCCCTATAACTAGTAGTCATAATAAATGTTGAAATGGGTTGGCTCTTCTGTTAATAACTTTGTCTTGTCATAAACGTACAGCTCTCATACCATGACAAGCCATTGTTAACAGTTACCTGATAGCTCACCAACTTAATGGTAACATAACACGATGTGCATCAACGGCGCCCTTAACATAAGTACCTGATCCAATACACTCAATTAGTAAACAAAAACCAATAACAAAACTTCTCATGAAACCGACCCATGGTCCACCGTCTTGTACTTGTGCTTGGCTTATCTGGGCAATTTACTGTTATAATACACTTGCCAATATACTAGCCCGGGATTGCATTCGGGAAAACAACAAAATCTTCTCATTCAAATTAAGCGCCATGCAAAGAAACAAAAACACCCCGATAGTAGAAAAATATAGTAAGTGATTTTTCTCCTATAAAAGCTTTCGTTTCCCTATCGGATCCCGTTT